ATGCGTCAGTGTGAGAAATGCAAGACAAGACTATTCAAGTGTCTATTCTTCAGACACTTGATAAATAAGAGCCGTGATCTTTGAAAAACCTGGGACTTACCTCTTCTAATATGTCACTAATTTCATAGGTGACGTACATTCACAGTTGTGATTAAACCAATTATAAGTCTAAAAAACAAGATCATACTATTTACATGTTGAGATGTGATAGTAAAAGAAATGTTAAAAATGATAAATCACAGTACTTAAGGTATGTTATTTACACCAAAATGTGTTACTGACAGACATTTTACAGTTGTTTCTTTCATTTGTATGTCCTTTGAGATCACGTCCATCCCAGCATATATGGAAATATATCTTAAGTTGTGTATCTACCTGCAGCGTGGAGGTGAGGAAGTTATCCTGAGACACGATGTCAACAAAGAAGTCAGGTGGGATTTCTCCGAGCTGGTGGTAAAGCACGGCAATGAGCCCCAGGTAGAGCTCCTTGCGTTTTCGCATTGCCTCCTCTGATCGACACAGCAGTGCTAGGAGGCTCTTCCAGTGCTCGAAGCCCTCGTACACATTTCCAACCAGGAAACACACGAAGGCAAACTGCAGCTCACCTGAGAGGGGAGAAACGGATTTAGGATTTTTTTTTTTTTTTAAATATACAAAATGTAATTGTGTGCTATTTTGATGGTCTAACAGGAGTGTATCTGACACATACCTAGCAGGTTAAGAGGTTGCAGCTCGTGGTTCTTCTCCAGCACAGTCTCCAGGGCGTAGCTCAGGTCCAGGCTGCACTGGGTGATCTCGGCCGGTGTAGCCCCAGGAGGGTAGGTCTTCTGGGGGATAGCAGAGAAGCGCAACTCCGTCCCCTCCCTCGGCTTCATCCTGGGGAGCCTGTCCAGTCCCTCTTTCATGCTCTGGCAGGCGGTGTCATTCCTCGGCTGCTCTGCCCTGTCTTTGGTGTGCCTGAGCTGAACCTCTGGGATGACGTCACTGAAGGCACATATGCGACCAGAAAGAGGCTGCAAGCTTTTGGCCACCTCCTCGCTCAGACGGTCAGTGAGGGACACCCACTTCCTCATCACCTCGTACGGATAGGGCCCCAGAAAAGGATCCAGGTCCCGCAACGTCGCCCTGATCCGGCTCACCTCCTCTTCATTCTGGGAGGCAGAGAAGTCCAGATCTTCTTCCTTGGGATCCCACGTGGCCAGCAGGATGTCTCTGGGTTTGAGAGTGAGGAAGAGGCCTGTCCTCGGGCCAGTTTCTCCTCCACAGCTTGGCTGGTTGACAGAGCAGTAGTGGAGGAAGTGCAGGCCTGGGGGGATCATCTTCACACCCTTGAAGCGGGGACCGACCTGCCAGCTCTTGCAGTCAATCCCCAGCTCTGTACCCTGAGGGACACCGAGCAGCACCAGGGTAGCTCCCTCCTCAAACAGCCTCCGAGCAACATCTGGGTCCATGTCTACTGCAGCGCCGCTGTTGGCCATGTCTGCTCTGTCGATGTCTGCTCCCGACTTAAAGTTCAAACACACCAGACAACACAAGAACCAAACTGCGCTTATAAGTCTTATAAGTCTGAGTTTTCCATGGTCAGAACATCCAGTAATATTCACTCAACAGTAAACACAGAGTGCTGATGCTGCTCTTTTAACGTTTCGGATGGATTCGGGTTTTTTTTAAATTTTATTATTTCTCTCTGAAAAACATTAAAGAGAAAATATGACGGAAATAAACACTTAAATAATTTTTTTTTTAAACGTACATTTGTGTAAAAGCGTTAGCAGTGAAGCACATTGACCACAACCGTACCTTGTGTTTGCTGGTTGTTGATGTTTCGTATCGTTAGGGAATCGTTTGGTCGAGCCTGTGCAACAAGTCTTCTGCTCCGGACGGAAACAGCGCTGCAGTAGAAGAGTTCCGCCCCTATAGTATTAGCTTTAGAGGATGTTTGTTGTCTTCTTGTATTATTTCACTCCAAAAATATATGATTAACGTATTTATATTAACTATTATTGTATTTATTTATTTATTATTATAATTATTATAACTATAATATATTATCTTCAAATTATATCAGTGTGAGGACAAGCAGCAATCAGTACAAAAAAGTGTTAACAAGTGTGACATAAGGTCATATTTTTAATCACTTCTTTATTATTTATAATCACTTTTCTTTTACTCTATTATCTTTTTTATAATTTCTTGGAAGCTGTCTGATTGTTGAACATTGATTGTGTTAATAAAGATGTTTTTAAGGTGGTGATACTACACCTATACCACAACCACCAATAATAATAATAATTCCAGTAATAATCATCATCACAATCACAGAACCAAGATATCATGTGAGTAGAAGTAAGACATTTTAAAAAGTTTGTTTTATTATATTGCATATATTCCAAAACATAACAGAGAGAAGAACATGTCATGGGTATGGTGATATACATATATATGGCTTACAAAGACAAAAATGGTTGGTACAACAAGAGAGATATTAGATAATGTAGACAATGTGCATATTCTGAAAGTATCTGAATGCATTGTGGATATTTTTTAGCTTATCTGTGGTTACTATAAAACTATTCCATAAAACAAAGAGCAATGCTGACATGCAAAGTCTGGTATTGTTTTAAAACACAAAACACTGAGAACTTGACAACAGTAAACATTCATGACATTGCATTTGAAAAACAGCTATCTAAATACAGTAAGTCATTAGTCATGTAATATCCTCTGTTTGAGTGAGCTTTCTTTTGAAATTCACAGAGTGTCTTCATGGGACAGTAGCACAGGCTTACAGGAACCGGAAGACACAACATGTCCTACTTTGAGAGCATATGGGCACTCTGAAGTTTCTGCCAACAAGTGATCAGTGCATTGATAACTTTGATTAACCTGATCCTCTTTCTCTTCTTTCCTCGTATTTTCTTGACAGCTGAACAAGAGGTTTTCTTGTCCTGAAAGCATGCAACCAGAAGTAATGTTATGCAGCATAATGTTGGCTTTTATCAAGTGATCTGGTGTCCTTATTTATTGTGGGAAAATGGAAAACAAAATGGAAGAATGTACCTCCCCTTACCAGATAAGTGGGGCTGCAGTTGTGAATGATGAGTTGCTCCATGCTCTTAAGAGGCTTTTCCAGGTCAGCCTGCTGTTTGCCACTCCTCTGACACCGCATCTCCTGTGTCATACCATAGATGGAACCCAGAATGCGACGTGCCTGCCACGGGACAGTAACACTCAGCATTTAAACCCTCTGGTTTATCTGTTAATGGCACTATACAGCAAATTAAAGTTATACTTCCAAATCTTTAATGTAAGACAGGAACACATGCAGACAATGTGAGCCGGTTTTGTGAAATCCAAAGTACAACAGTATCAGGACAAATTAGGATTTTATCCTCATTACCCTGTCCATGGTGCTGAAAGCACACATACTGTAGTGGCATTTACCTTTCCTGAAGGACAGGGGTCTCTCTCTTTGGAGGTGTTACGTGAGCCAGCCAAATTCTGTAAAAGAACAATCAAATGTGAATTTATTAAAGGAAATTAAAAATGTCATGAAAGAAGAGAAAAAACAGGTTTGACCTTACCTGCAGCCTGTCACAGATTCAAGCATTGCTCCCACATGTTTAATTACAGCTGCAACTGACTCGATTAAACTAACATTTAGACCAATTCTGGGCAATTCTGGTCAATTCTGGTCAATGGAGCAAATAAATGAATACAATTACTAATTGTATTACTATTTAGTAAACTTAAATATGTCTCTATCAAAGTCACACAGAGAATCGCCAAAACATATCTGTAACAATGTTCTCATACAAGATTCTGCAGCTCAACGAAGATGACCTCTCTGTAGGAGCCCAGGATTTCTTTATAGTTACATCCACGTTTACCACAGGAGTTGGCCAACAAGAGAACCACCAGGACACTACGGAGTAGAGATCCGGTCAGACACTATGAAAGAGAGAAGCGTTATGACAGATTTTATGTAAAGGAGTGCACTCTAGATTAACAGTAAAAAAACAACAACCGTGGATCAATGTTCAGTTGGCTCGGACGCACGGTGCGCCTCAGTTTGACGTGCATTAAAGATTGAGTCAGTTTGCAGCCCTTTGCACTATATGCCATCATGACTAATGCGAATACAGTCATGTTTAAAGTACAGCAGTGCACTATAAACAGGACTTTATAGTCAGCTGCGCAACTTTCAATACGTTTCTGTATCAGCTCATCTGTTGCGTAAATACGCGCCAAATGTTAAAACCACACGTACCATTTATCATGTTCTACTGCGGGATCCTCAGACGAGCAAAGCCATCTCTATCAGTAGCAGGGAGATCCAAGGAATTACTCCTCATCCGACCGCGGTCATTGCCCCCAAAAGCTTTTTCTTCTCCAGTATTTTTAGACTTTCTCCGGTGGATAGGTTAACGCGGTGGCGGATACACTTCCGATGTGGTGCTCCGTGGTTTCCAACATCACCAAAGGCACTGCTGCTCCAATTTCCTTCCCCGTCATGGATTGCTGACGCCGAGCTTTGGATTTCACCAAACTCCAGTCCGATCAAGTCTAGGAAAACGTCTGCAATCAATCACTCGCCTTCATCCTTTCGGTTTCGTTGGGAAGACGTGATAGCGAGGAGGAGCGGGTGTAATTTGGTGGATGATTTTACATGTTCGGGGAGGGTGGTGTAAATAGCGATGGGAACTCTAATCGGTAGTGTAAACTATAGAAAGCAGTGCAATAATGAAACTGTGTTTAATAATTTTGTAATTTGTTTTGTTGGACATTTTACATAACGCAGTGAGTCAAACTGGTTGCAGCCAAAAACCAAAAAAAGATTTTGAATCCCATACAGGGCAACCGAACATGCATGGCAACAGCAAGGTGCAGGTACAACTGCTGGACTGAAATATTTGGTTAAACACATCTCACAAAGAAACCAACTATAAGAATTAGATTTGACGTTAAACAACAACAAACCATTTCATAACAAGACTTGCTTGGGAACTGTGCAACAAACAGTGTTGTTTATTGGATGGCTGCAAAGTATTTGAACACATTTCAAGCAAACTAAGTAAAAAAACAGTTCATTACAACATGATGAATCATGAAATAGTCCCTGACAAGAAGTTTATATACACTACCAAACGGACATAGACAAATCTGGATTCTTGCATATCTCTGTGGACAAGACAGAAAAATAAGATTCCTCAAAATTGAGATGTTTTGATTATTGTCATTGTTATTATTTCTGTTACATTGTCATTTCTGTTTCATTTTCACAGCAACCACAATGACTGAAATTAGAATTTCAACACTAACCAGCAGAAAAACAGACAAATGTCAAAGTGAACACAATCCCAAATAAACAAATTCATCCTAATTTAGTACAAATATAAAACTACAACAATTGCATCCAACTTTTAACAGCTTTTACTATGACACACCGACATCATTACTGGTGCAACAAATTATTATTAGAATTCACATCACATTATATGTTGATAAGAGACACAGAACTGGCACGGACTGTTTAGATTTAACCGAGCAGACAGGTTTGTGCAGCAGTTAAACAAAAATGGACCAACAGGATGGCTAAACAATGGATACCACTAATTACATGTATTTAACATGAGAGGTCATGGCTGGGTCCGAATAACAAAAGGTACAGTACTGTGTCTGCCGTCACTTAACAGTTGTCAGAAGATGAAATTAAAGCTGATTTACCGATTCATGAATTAGGCCATAAACATTTTACTAGAATAGGTGTGTTTCTCTTTAGTCAATCAGAAATTAATGAAACAACTGTTGCCCAGGTGATTCACCAGGTGCAGCTCTATGGCGGTGTTACAAGGTGTTTAAAAAAAAAACCTCACGCAACATCTGAGTGAGTGCTTGCCAGAAAGGGGGCTGAAACAAAGAGGAGGAAGGAAGCAAAATACACTGGAATCCAAGAGAACAACCAGCTGCAGTCTGCAGCCAGACGTGGGAGCAAGTTTACTTCCTTGCATGGCAAATACTTTAAACATGAAGCCGAAGATAAGCAGGAATGGCTTAAAAACAACAAAATAATGTCCTAAAGTGGTCAAGTTAAAGTCCAGACCTTAATTCATCTGAGGACTTGAGAGACCACAGACCTATCCATAGAAAGCTACTTCTGTTGCTAGGACTTTCTTTTATTATACATTGGTACTTGTGTTCAATTTTGTGGAATTGTTTTCACTTTGACATCAAATGATCATTTTCAGTTGGTAAGTACAAAACTGTCAATTCTGTAAACAAGAAAAACATGAAAAGACTGGGGGGTATATGTGAATACTTTGCATCTGCCGAAGATGAGCAAGTCCTGGTAGGGAACAATAGTTGAGCGTGTCCATAGCTGTTTCCTGCTAGACTGGTGACTGCCAGAGTCCTCCAGGTGTTTTCAGTCCAAATTTCCCCAGTCTCAGAATGTGTTCTTGATCTTGCTGGCTACCTCCGCTAAGATCTCTCCTGTCTTCTTCTGCCAGTTCAGGACGTGTTTGGACTCGGCACACCACAACTCTCCGTGGCGGGGCTCCGCATTCTCACAGCGCTTTCGTACCTCTTCCTGCTGCTCCTGATGGACGAAGAATAGCGAGGTTAGATATCCATAACAGATAATCCCCCCCAACACACTTTACTTAAACTGGTTAGAATGACAACACACATCAGCACATCTTCACGCCCACATACTGAATGCCTGCTAACACTTGTAACTCGAGGCATCAAGTTATTAGTACATCTGTCAGGCTCTTCTTTCTTACAAACCTGGTACTTTGAAAGAAAATGTCAACAACCGAAGAAAACTGGATAGAAAGCTTGTTGCTTAAGGCATATTTCTAGATTTACTCCTTGGTCTTAATTGCACTCAATATTGTTTTGTGGTAAATAATACAATGAGAGCATAGTTGTCCATTGTAGTCATAGCTGTTACTAGGCTTGCACAATATGATAAAAAAAAAAAAAAAATCATGTTAAGGTCTGTACAAAAAAAAACATGTTTTCTGACATCTGGAGAATAAGATTTAGAACCCAGGGCAGCTCTGCAGCACTAAGCTGTTTTGTCACAGATTTTACAAAGCAGTTTAAAATGCAGCCTTTGTGACTTGGATTTGCCATATTGCAATTTTGCTAATATTTTTCTTAATTGCGCAGCCCTAGCTGTTACTACTCTGAAACATTAACTGAATCTTTGTATTTAACTGCAGAATGTCAAACTGAACCATGTGAAAATGACATATTCCACTGTAAATGTAATGTAACCACTGACGCACACAAAGTGGTTCGCACACAAAGTGGTTCGCACACAAAGTGGCACAAGTTCTACACCCAGATAAGGACACACAACAATAAGATCTTTACCTCTGTGCCGTGCTGCAGTTCAAACTTGTAGAAGAAAGCCCAAGCATCTCCCAGGTCTGGCTCAATCTTTACAGTCCTTAGGAACCACTCTCTGGCTTTGGTGATCTTACGCTCACTCCAGAACAACCTAAAATGCGTGCACAAGATTGCATTTGAAATGGATACAAATTCAAAATGTCATATAATCAAGATTTGCAAAAAGAGCAGAACTTATTACTGGGAAGGAGAATAGGAAACAGTGAAAAGATTGCTGTCATACTTTGCGACAGCGAGCAAGACGTGGGGATCATGTTCACATTTCTTCAAAGCATCCACACTCTTAGTCTTCCTCTGGGGCCTGGCCTCCAAAAACACTGCCTCAGCCCACAGGATACCTTGTAGGAAGGAAATGGGAGTGGGGGGAGAATTTGAGATTACACAAGAAGTCTTGTAAAACAGTATTTTTAAAAAGTAATAAAAATTACTATCTAAAACACATAAATTCGCAATTAAATATACTTGAACAGAAAAGAGGTGCTGTGTCTGTTGTCTTTCCCATCAGGTAGGTTGTAAGCAGGTAAACAAAGTTTCAAAACATACAGTCATTAAAGTAAAACAGGGTTTTGTCTTTGTTTTCTGGGGGAAAAAAAGGTGTAGAAGCAGCTCAAAGAGGAGGAATATATTCTCACCTGAATTGGGGCACTCCTGCAGGGCTTTGGCCATCAGCGTGTTGGAGATGTTCTTCAGTCCAGCTCGGAACTCCAGCCTGACCGATTCCAACCTGGTTATGATGACAAACGCATAGTTTTAGAGCAGGGGTTCTCAAACATATTACTCAAAGGTCCAAAGTCACAGGTCTGGAATGATTGCTGATAACAAAATAGGATTCAGTCACCTATATTTAGTTGTAAAATTGTGTATTAGAGAAAAAACATTCTGTATCTGTGATTAAGGAGCTGAAATCAAATTATCTGGTTAATGTGTAAACTTGGCAGCAACAACTCACATTCTCTCTCCAGCAGTTAAGACTGCCATGACAACAATGTCAACAATGTCAACAATAGGGAAATAAGCGACATTAAGATCACATTCATCCGGGAACAGGATTACTGCGATTTAAGGGCTGGCCCCATATAAGACCACACAGATATTCGTTCGTTGGGTAGGTGTTTAGTTTTAAATTTTGGGATTTGGATATTCGCACGGACACTTGCTGCACAATGCTGCACACACACACCAGCTTGCCCCGCCTCGACTCTTTCTGTTTCTCTTTTGCAGTATCATACAGGGACAGACACCAGCTGTGTCTGCACTGTTGACAACTTGCATTTTGGATTTTTTTTTTTTTACCCACGATTCCGTTTTGCAACAAAAGCAGGTGAGCAGCGTGTTTCTCTGCTTGTGCGACTGTATGTAGATGGAAGGGGTTATTAAGCAAGGGGACGCTGTTGGTCTCTCAGACGGATAAATAAAATAGTACGTCATGCTCAGCTCCCATCGTGTCATTAGACAATATTACACTTCATAATGTGTTGTATTCATAACAACAGATGTGGACTGAGGTCAGGATTAGTACTTGGGCTAATTAGGGGCCGAGCCAACGACCGCTGGAGGTCCCTATTGCTTCTTCGCTCGCTCCTCTCTCTCTTCTTCTCCTCTCTCTCTTCTCGCGCTCTCTCGCCCTGGTCTTTTGCCGCCTGCACGATATACGCCAACTCAACCTCAACTTTACTTATTTGGTCAAGAGATTGTCAGGCCTGGGGGAAAATTGGGATATTCTATGTGCTGCTTCTCAGGTCGACTCAACGTAAGGTGCGCTACTATCATGAAACACGTGCCGTTTAGCGCTAATAACTGTTTCTGCATGTTTCGTCACATCATGCTCGCCCCATCTTCTGTTTCTTCCTTTACAGCATTCGCTGCACCAATTTCAGGTCCACTCTGCCCCCAAGGCTGGCGCTCTTGCACACATGCACCTTCTATTCCTGCAATGACGCTTGCTTCCACATCGGCACACTTGGTGCCGCATGCTTGCCTGGTCTGCCGCGTCGACCTCTCCCCTCTCTTTCTTCGTTCTAACCATCGCCACTACGGCTGGCTCCTGCGCTCCGCTCCATCACTGTGCGGAGACCCACTCCACTCTCCTCCTATCCGCCATACCTGCACATCACCAGGGCCGCTGCCCGTCACAGAGTTCGTCATCCCCTCTTGAACCTCAAACTCGCTCAACAACCCTGTTGATGCCGCATTCCCTCCCGGCACTTCTTGCAGCTGATTTCTTCAGCCTTTTTCTTCTGCCCTTCGACTTCTCGAACAACTCCCTCCTCAGAGGACATTTATCGGACTCTGCTTCAAAATTAGTCAGTAAAAAGTTACACACTATGTCTGTTGATTAAAGTTGCTCGTCAAACTGTGCATCGCATTTCGGCATTTCAGTGCTTCTTTTTACTAACTCCTCCCTACAGACTTTATTCTTGATTGACTTCAAATTCGATCACTGCAATCTAGACACGTTGGTGATCGAAAGTTAATCAAATATTTGCTGTGCGTCAAACGGCGTGTCCATGGCGCTGAATTTCCATGTTTCGCAGTGAAGAATCTCACTATGAAAGATTCCGTTTTTTGCACATTGTCTGAAACGTATGACGTAGAGCGGTCTCCCTCAGCTTCTGGCAATGAGAGCTTGGGAGTGGGGTGACGTGGCGTGGCGCGGCTGCGGTGGGCGACCGCCGTGCAGGCCCCGACGTAGGTTGATGGCGAGGTCCCGCCCAATGCTGCTTGCAACTTTAATTTTCAATTTCACATTGATCCCAGTTTTGGTGCAGTATTTGAAGAAAAACTTGTTTTGAAATAAATGTTGGAAAAGTACATTTAGCACATGGTGTCTAGTTTTGGAAAGCAAATTAATCATAATTGTAATTTTCTAATGTACATGTTCTCTAACATACATACTACAGAACTGTGCTTAAAGTGTTACTGAAGAGGGAAGTCACTTGAATGCCACAGCAAATATTTTTAAATGCTCAGTGCACAAAAAAAAACTTGTTTTACAGGCATAGAGCACAAAGATTTTTTGTTCATTTGTTTGGTGTAATCTCTACACAGGTGACACATTTTTAATTCAAAGCACTTCCTAAGGCAGCTTCCTTCGTTTGTATTCAAGTGGCTTACCACGTTTTCTCTGTTTATTTATTTGTGTATTTCCTCACCACAGCTCGGGGCTTTGGGGGTTCTTGAGTCGCGCCTTCTCCAGGATCGCTCTGGCTCTGGTCAGCTGTCCCACTCTCTCTTCAAGACGAGACAGAAGCAACCACAGGGCTACCGAGTGGGGACACTTTTTCAACTGCAGCAACACAAAAGTACTTGATTATTTTTTAGAGTTAAGCACCCACAAAAACACTTCAAAGTCCAACTCTCTTGGTTCTATTGCCTTTGTGGTTAATGAACACCTGAACAAATCATTGCCCCAAACACTCCCACCCCCACCTCACCCCTTGGTTGTAAGCCTCTCTGGCCTTATCCATGTTTTCACACTGCTCTTCTATCTGGCCTCTCATCATCCAAAGTTTTGGGAAGTCTTCGTAGTGTTTCAGGGCCTCTGTGCACAGCTCCTGGGCAGCTTCTATGTTTCCCAACACCCACTCCAACTTCACTGACTTCATAAATACCTGTAGAGATTAAAAACACACACACACACACACGCTTTCAGTCAAAGAATATGTATAAACAGGACCCATGAACTCTCATGAGCTTGACATATACTTGGCGTATACTAAAATTGCTGAAAAACAATTTGAAATGCACAGTTGTCTTATCTGACAAGACAATCAGTGCCGCCAACATTAAAGCAGGTTATCTTAGTCATACCTGTCAACAAATACAATACAGATAACTGAGGGAATGAAGTCAGGTCACCTGATAGAGAGAGTGACAGTTTAAGAGCATTGCTGACAGCATATGTCACCATGACTACTGTTTTGAAGTGTAGAAACCTGGCAAGCCTGAACCTGAAGACAGCACATTTGTAGAAGATACCTCAAATACAACGCACTATTAATTTACTATTTAACACTGGCTTTCAAGCGGAAAATAATAATAATCAAGCCACCCCCGCAAAACAAGGAATGAACTCTATTCATACCAAATTACACAATGAAAAACAAACTGTGTGTACTGGTACACAGAGTCACAGAAGGGCAGTTAGAGAGTAAAAGGACAGAACAGTTCAAAACACAAACAATCTTTCCCCTAAAAGTTAGGGAAATGTGCGTTTATTCCATCAATCTTTTTCAGTTCTTTCTGTCTGTGTTACAATCAAACAGATATCAGATGATGGAGGAGGTTTTGATTGGCAAAAACACTATATTAAACTATAAACATATACATTTCCCAAATTTTATCCAGTATATTCGTGTAGATTTCTACTCCTATTCTGTATTAGATTAGGGATGTGAATAAATTATATATTTTATACCAATGTCATTGTCGATTTTACTTATTGGCCTGATTCTTTATCGATTTCCTTATTGATTCCTGATGAGTTTTCCGTGTGGAAAAAAGTATGCTTACACAGGTTTTATCATCTCTGAGTCTCAACAGTGTTCAGAAAAAAAAAAACAGTTGAAAAAGTTGCCCTTTAGGTTTCCTTAGTCAAACAAAAAATTTACTAAGCCTGCAGTTTGACATAATTGTTTTGCACAACTGTCAGAAAAACATCCCTGATAAAATAATTGATAAGCTCGGAGGCATTCAATTTGGATGATGGATGGATTTGGAATCGGTCCCCCTCATGATTTTGAATTAGGGAAATGTTTTTGCCGTTTTCTAACAAACACACACTCACCCTGGCTGTTGGGGCACTGCTGCGAGCTTTGGCCAACAGTCGACGGGCTCTTTCATACTCGTTATTCTCAGACTCCAGCTTAACAGCAGCCAGCCAGATCTCTTCACTGTTTGGGTTAGCCTAGAGAGGAAAGTAAAATGAAGAAGAACAGAGAGTGTGTGAGGGAAAGAGAGGGAGAAAAAGGAAAGGGGGAAACAAACTTAGACACAGGATCGCATGGATACTACATGAACAGGTCAATGTTTACATAACCTCATTGTCACCTGGAAGGCCAGAGCGAGGATACTTCTAGCTGCAGGCACATCCTCAGCCAGCCACTTGGACTTGGCTCCCATCAGCCACAGGACCTCTGCCTTGGGACAGTGAGCCACAGCCCTTTGGAGCAGGGCCTCCAAAGACTCCCTGAGAGATGCAACGAGATGTTGAAAAGTAATGGAGGGGAGAAAGAAAAAAAAGTAATTAAAACATAAACAAATGAAGACGTGAACTAATCAGCAGCCAGCTTTTGACTACTACTGTTTACTACTCTTAGAAACCAAATGTGATCACCTGGTGCCGTGGTTTTTCTCAAAGTAGGCAGCTCTAAGCCAGACACTTTTTTTACTGGGGAACACCTGCAGAGCATGGGCATAGATGGCCCTGGCACACTCCAGCGCTCCATGGGCCACACACTGGAACATAACATAATCATCTCAATTTAATTAGGTTGAATTAGTATGTAAATGACCCTTCTAGGTGTGTAAAAAGATATATTGATACTCACACTATCTGCATCTTCCATCCAGGTGTGTTTTCGGTCCTCTTCCTCGATGCCAATCCCTATGACGGCCCTTATCACAGCCTGGCAGGTAGCCACACTGCCGGCTTTGTCACACTCCTCTGCATCCTGCAGGATAAGAACAAACATTTACATGTGGGTGTACACTGAAGGAGAATGCAAGAGAGTTATGACATGAACTACTGACCCCAATAAAGTAGTATAGTAGTCAGTAAATTCCAAGAAATGATGGCGGTATTTACATGGAAATAAATACATACCTCAAATGAACTTAGATAATTGATAGATATCCAGTTTATAGATAATGAGTCTTTCATGGGAGGTAATCTCTGCACACATAATTGTTGTAGGCAAAACAAAGGACGAGCTTAGGGTCCCATTGCACACATCTGTTGCTGGTGTTATGAGTGTACTGGCAAATGGCCTTGATAAACCTACCACAATAACGACATACTCTGCCAGGGGTAGGAAAAGCCAGGAAAAGAAAGAAAAAGTATTGCAGCACAGGCTTATGATTGCAAAACAACTGTGAACTGCGCTAAACAAAATGTCAGTCACAGTGCTGACTTGTATTCTGTTGCGCCCAGATGAAATAGCAGATGGCAGCTTTGCCAAAGTATGCTGGCGTGCTATCAAAGCTGACACACTCACAGAGCAGTCGGTATTCCTTCAACACCAATGTTTAGAGGCACGATAATTATTTTTTTTTTTAACCTTATAATTTGCAGGTTCATTCCGATATATAGTTTATGATCTCAGTGAGAGATTAGAAACACCTCTCAATTTAATGCAATCTAATCAAAACTAGGGGTGGGTAAAAATATGGATTCATCAATGCATTGCAATATATTTTTTCCCAATTCAATATGGATTCATTAAATCCTCTGAATCGATTCAAGCCCCTGGCCAGTGGGGGCGCAGTGAGCAACACCTGTGTGATTTGCGTTGTACGGACCGGAGGCCGCACTCGACCAACAAACAATAACAACATTGGCAAACGAAGCAGGTAGCCAGCAGTGTTAAACGCAGCGGCCTTCAAGCTTTAAAAAAGGCAGACGTTTAGAGTCCTTTTGGATTCCAGTGGTAAACCCGGAACACAGGATAATAGAGCAAAAGTAAGGTAGTGTGTATAACTGTGCCCAGGCAGTACTGAAAATACGGCAATAACACAACAAATTTGCGGCAAGCCCACTTAAGCCGACACCATGCAGATGGCTCTGCAGCAACCCGCGCTTAACCTGTGGATTCAAAACAGACGCAACCGACCAGATCCTTCCTTTGCAAACTGGCTGCCAAACTCTGCCCACGCACAGATAGTAACGGTAGTCTGTGCCCTCTTCATACTGTATGTAAGG